TTTAAACTGGTTTAAAGAATAATTAGATTTCAGCTCATTATTTAATATTGTATTCCACAGCTTAGGACCTCGATTTGCAATTGAAAATTTGGTTGCTGAATAATGTGTTTTGGATTGAATGTAATTGTTTTTTGAAAATCTGGTAGGGTATATGTGGTTTATTTTTCAAAAAGTGAATTAAATAACATTGGTGATATTTTTTTATCAAGTTTAAACATGAAGATAAGAATATGGTAAAGGTTTAGTTTATATACATTTAGAATATTAAGTTTATTAAATAATGTTTTAGTGTGAGAGAAACGGTCTACGTTTGTAATTATCCTTATAGCCTGTTTTTGTTTACTAAACAGTTTTTTTACTTTTGATGCGTTTGTGCTGCACCAAGCAACGTTTGCATAATTTAAGTAGCAATGAATTAAAGAAAAATATAAGTTTTTTAAACAAGATAGATTTAAAAACTGCTTGGCTTTATACAAAACACCTATATTTTTTGATATTTTATTTTCAATTAGACCTATGTGGTCCCTCCAGGTTAAATTTTCATAATGTTTTTTCAGCACAACATTATTATTTACCAGCACGAACATTTTTGTATGCACGATAGAGATTTCAACCTTTACTCACAGCATTATTTCTCAAGTGTAATCAAATTTGCTCATATTATTATCTAATATGAGTGCTAGAGTTTTTTTAGAGTATTTTGAGCATGTTCTGAATCAGAAGGCTGCTTAACAGATAAACTTTAAACTACTTTCACATTAATTCTTCTGTCATCTTTAAAAAGATTACAACTACCAGCTTACAACAGTTCATTTAAATAACTAGTTAATAAGTCGATAGCTGCTACTTTACGACTCTTTGAATTGTCTTATGATGTGATGAACTTGATATCTTGTACATGTTGACATATTACAAATAATAGTATTAAACTAAAAATTAAAATAACTTTATATATATATATATATATATATATATATATATATATATATATATATATATATATATATATATATATATATATATATATATATATATATATATATATATATATATATATGTACTTGTTATTTTAAAACATTAAAAAAAAAACTTGAAGAAAAAATATCTTTCATTTTACAGCAAGTATTAAAAAAAGTAGCAGATACTAGCAGCTAGATAAATAATTTTATGAAAGCATATATGTAGAGCCTTCAAAATATGTATAAAAGATAAGGGCAAAATACAGCACAAGTTTTTTCTTGTTGTCGTTTCAAAAAAAAAAGGGTAAAAATAAGACATTTGCTACCTAAACTTATATTCAAAACTAGTTTAAAGATTTTTTTGAATTCTTTTTTTTTATAAATTTTATATAATAATTATTTGATCAGTTAATAAAAATATTTATATCAAATAATAATAATAATTTTGATATAATTATAATAATAATAATTATATCAAAAATTTATTCTACACTTTTGCTTTGTAAAAAACTACTTTTTTTCACTTTATCGCTATTTTTTTTGTGGAAAAATTTTACTAAATATGATTTTTTTTCGCAAATGTATTCTTTTAATATCTAATTCAAATACTTTTGTGATCCCCAATACATCTAATTCAAAATTTTATAAAAAAAATTTAAGCTTTCAAACATTGATTTTTATAGTTTTGTCCACCTATTGGCCCACTGTGCACTGGGAGCATATAAAACAGTGTTTACGACTGGTGAAGAAGATGAGACTGACTTCGATAGAGCTTTGCCAAATGACCTACCAACTGGCCGAAAGAAATAAAAGGCCACATCCTTTCGACCACGAACATGGTGCAACTGGGTACGATTGGTACAAGGCCTTCATGAAATGGCATTTTAACCCTATTTCACTTAGAAAACCTGACACTACTTCTGCAGCAACAGCGACAGGCTTTAACAGAGTTGCTGTTGATTCCTTTTTTAACCTGCTTGAAAACGCCGTTGACAGCAAAAAAAAACATTAAACAAAATTTGGAACTGTGATGAAACAGGCATCACCACAATGTCAAAATCCCTTTCCAAAATCATACTCACCAAAGGGAAAAGACAAGTAGGTGCAATCACCTATGCAGAGCGAGGACAGCTTGTATCTGCAACTATTTGCTGTTCGGCAAGCAAAAACTACATGCAGCCGATGCTGATCTTCCCACGCCAACGGATAAAGGAAGAGTTAATGAGTGGGGCACCTGGTGCTTGGGCTGAGTGTCACCCAAGTGGCTGGATATAATCAGAGATCTTTCTAAACTGGTTTAGAAAGTTTATTACTAATTAAGGAGTGACAAAAGACAATAAAATGCTTTTGATCTTTTTGATTTGGAGGCAGCAACCATAAAAAATGCCATAAGTAGCTTTAAAATTTTTGAAGTATGGCCAGTGGATAGATTCAATTTTACAGATACTGTCTTTTTATCAGCTGAAGCAACAGTCTTACCTATGGATACATCTGTCGCTCCAAGCACAGCTGCCTCAATTTGCACTAATGCACCCAGTACATCTACATTACCTAGCTTTTCCACTTCATTGGAAAAGCTGCTTAGCACTTTTACATTACCTATATCTAGCACATCAACATCTACATTATTCAACACTTCAATTTCTGCATTATCAAGTACGTTAATTTCTGCATTACCAAGCACCTCAACTTTGGCATTACCAGGCACCTCTGCGCTACCAATACCCAGCACTTTAATTTCACCAATACCCAGCACTTCAACTTCTTCATTACTCAATACGTCTATTCTAACATTGCCTAGCCTTTTTACTACTTTTCCTAGGCATATCATTCCTTTTTAAAAGCAGGGCTTCAAAAAAAGAATGTCTCGCAAAGGAGAAAGACAGCAGTGCTAATCTTCTCCTAAAATACTCATTAATTGTGGCTAAGGAGAAGAAAATAGCACCCAAAAAGAAAAAAACTACAAAAATAGAAAGTAAAGAGGATGACACAAGGTGTCTGTAATGTGATTACAGATATTTGGAAAGCCAGGAAAGCTGGGTTGCTTGTACAGTTTGTGGTATTTGGACACATTATTCGTGTGCTGGCAAAGTGGAAAGGGTAAATAAGCCAGAATTTGTTTCAGAATTGTGTATTTGAGTGCATTTATCATCATTTTCTGTTTAAGCATTACTTTATAAATGTTAAATATTGTACATTTTGAAAATTTTCTTTATTCCCATTTTGCCCTATGCATAAAATCCTACTTGACCCCAGGTATGGAGCATAACGGGATTTTATCGTTGTGTTTTTTATTTTTATTACAAGTTCAAATTCAATTTTTGATAATAGAGTTTGTACCTTATAGCGTAAACTTTTGATTTCTATAATAAATGTTTACTTAGTTATTTGTATTTATGATTTTGTTTATGATTTAGTCTTAAGTACCCCGTTTTGCCCCAGTCTCCCCTACAACTTGATACTACATTTAATCGTCAGATTTTATCTAAATTAGAATATTAAAAAAGTTATTAACTTTTATAGATGAACTGATCGATTTTTAATGGTTTTGTGGAATGTTTTGAAATGTTTAGGTCTATAAATTAGTATTGAGAGTGATTCATCAAAAAATTCTGACAAAAATTTGAAAACAAATCTTTATCCAATATCAAGTATCAAGACATACTAATAAATACATACATACATATAGGATTCAAGAAAAAATATAGTAAACATGTATATGAAGGTATAAAAGTATGACTTTTATGTGATAAATTTCAATGTAACTTCCACACGCTTGTTTACTTTTTAGAACTATTTTTTAGTAAAGCTAAGTGGATGTTTTAAACTGCTTAAAAAGACATTTCATTCCCAAAAGTTTTTTGGGAATGAAAGTAGTGGTACAGAATGCTGTTTTAAATTTAAAAAAATGATTTTTTCGGACATTTTTTATGACTCACAACTTAATAATTTTACATTGGTTCATAATTTTCTACTAAGTCTATATCGAATTATTTGAGATTTGGGAATTTATTGTAAATTACTATATTGTAAACTTATTCTATGGATATGTGTTCTTTTTTTTTGTTGTTAATACAGAAACTTGTTGAAAAGTCAAACATATTGAGTTAAAATACCTAGCTCCCATGACCGTTCCATCACCTTTAATTTTAAAAGATATCTTTATTTGATATTAGTCTGAACGATATCATAGTTTGCTCTGAAAGGAAATTTTCCGGGCGGGAGTTTTCTAGATGAAAGTTATACTAATATTGTCTGATAACCACTAACACTTTATTTGTGTTTTACGTAGAAAAAAAACATTATAAAAATTCTAATTTTTAAGATTTTTTTAGATTTAACTAACTTCCATAAATAAATATATTAAATAAAAATAAAATATAAAGTTACATCAATTGTTGTAAATATTTGTAATATAAAAATAAATAAATATAATGTTTATAATAATAGAATAAACAACACCTTGGCATTTTATGTAGACCACCTTAACACCCTAAGGACCCTTTTAAGTAGACCACCTTACCACCCTAAGCACCCTTCTTAAGAAAACCACTAACACTTTAAAGTTATGAGATTTTCCATTAAAAGAAATAGAAAAATAAAAATGAAAAAGCAATAAAAAGCTATAAAAAATTAATAAAAAAGCAAAAAATAAAAACAAAAAAACATTAAACCAAAAGTTCTAAAATGTTAGTGATTTTGATTACAAAATTTACAAAATATAAATAAAAACTATATGTCAATAAACCATAACACATGTCATATATGAAATAAAGTAAAATCAATGCACACACACACACACACACAGATATATATATATATATATATATATATATATATATATATAATATATATACATATTTATATATATTTATATATATATATATATATATATATATATATATATATATATATATATATAATATATATATATATATATATATATATATATATATATATATATATATATATATACCAGAAATAAAAAAAGAAAATAAAAGGTAAAAAAAATGGTTAACACCAGAAATATAACAAAATAAAACCGTTTTATAAAACAAATAGTCTAAAAACCATATCAAACAAAGGTTTTCTAAAAACCATGTTGCAAATATTTTAATATAAATTTAATTTAAAAATATTTAACCGTAATTTTATAGAAATTAAAAAAAATAATTTCCGATTCAAAAAACAAATAAAACAATATCAAACTTATAAATAATCAACGTTTTTAAATTATTACTATTAACTAATAAACAAAACAATGAACAGAAGCACAGATTCCAAAAATCAGGAACAGGACTCCATGAGAAAATTATTCCAAAACTAAAAAGTTTATTTTTTTATAAAACTAACTTCGTCGCAACCTTCGTCAGATTCTAGTTCTTCT